TGTCAAACGAGTCCTAGATGTCATCTTGACGAAGGCGCATGAGACATTGTTGTACCGAAGACATCGCCAGAGGACATGGGAATTGATGATGGAGAAGAGGTTGTCTGACACACACACACACACACACACACACACATTATTCTCTTATTATATAGTTGTAGTATTATAGTTTATACTTTATTTTGATGGTCTTACTACTTTATTGATCTCGTTTGTACAATATTTTCGACATTTATTAGTATTTTTTGTATGGCATTGTTGTCCGTTTGAAATTATGTATGTTTATTGTTTTATTTTCGATTGTGTGTTATACTTCATCTGTATTTTCCCTGATGGGTCTAATGTCAAGTGAGTCCTAGATATCATCATGACAGAGGCACATGTGACATTGTTGTACCTGAGACATTGTTGAGGAGATAGACATGGTCGAGGAGGTAGGGAGAGGTTATCAAACACACCCACATAATATTCTCTTATTATATAGTTGTAGTACTATGATTTGTATTTTATTTTGATGATCTTACTACTTTATTGATATCCATTGTACGATATTTTCGACATTTATTAGTATTTTTTGTACGACATTGTTGTCCATTTAGAATTATGTGCGTCTATTTTTTATTTTCGATCGTGCATTATACTTCATCTGAACACAGATAAACAACTTATATTATGAAATACCTGTTCTGATACATTTCGGAGATGTATCTTTGGAATATTCACGGAGATAAAAATTTCTGAAATAATTCAAATGTAAATGACTTCTGAGTGAGATATATTGAATGCTTTAAATTGTTTCAAAGATGCATCTCTGGAATATTTTAACATTTATTCAGAAATATGTGCGTCCAAAGATGTATCTCCGGAAACTAGAAACATTTAAATAATTTTGCGTGGTGGCTAAGAAGTATTTAAGATGCATTAAGAAATTTTCAACTTATTTATCTATTTCATTTCTAAGAGGCCACGTATCAGGTTATGATTATGGTGTGACTCAACTGTTTGTTTTTTATTCCTACGCACTCGACCTTTAGTATGCATTTCTTTTAATCAAAGAGTCAAATTTTGGAGATATCATGAAATTGTTTATGGTCTTATTGATCATTGCTCTTGTCATAGAAATTGGTTTTGAACAACAATCATTCTTCACAATATAAACACTTTATTATGAAAAATATGGTAGAATCATTCACAACAAGATTGCGTACACACAATACAATACTGACTGAAAGTTTACAAGGAATTAACCAGAACATAGACACTCTAGAGTTTGGCCTCTCCCTTTCCCAAATGTTCGAGAGTTGGATTTTTCCCACTAATCATTCAATAATTCTCATATAAAGTCCATTTGTTTTGTTTGTCCCTTTTATAATTACACAACACATAGAATTGAATAGATATAAAGAATTACATAATTAATCATTGCTCACAACATGAACATCCCTTAGGGGAAAAGTAATGAGATGTATTTTAATTAAAGTTATGTTTGGTTCAACGGAGGGGAGGGGAAGAATTTTAATAAAGGGGAGGGAAGGGAAAGTATTTTAATTAAATCTATGTTTGGTTCAAAAGAAGGAGAGGGGAGGGTGGGAGAAATTTTAATCAAAAATGTGTTTGGTTCATAATGGGAATGGAGGATTTTTAAAAACACTTTATCTTTTTACCCTTAAAATATCATAACATTCTTGTTAAATAAAATAAAAACAAAATGATATTCAAAAAAAAGAATTTTTTTTTATAAACAACATAGATAATCAAACACAAAATATGTAATATTTCAAATACTATGAATTATATTAAAGTGTAAATAGAATATTGATAAATATCATAAAATCATTGTATGATCAATCTTCAGATGAAACACTTTATTATATTGATAATTCATTTAATCCTATAATATATTTATGAAATTAAATTCTAAATGATATATATACTCATATACTACAATTATATATCGATACATAATACAACTCAACAACTTTTAAACAAATTAAATTATTACAAACAAAATAACAAATAAAAGCGAATAAAATAAAACAAAAAAAAAGTTAAATCATAATAATAAAAATAATGGAGTTGTCATTAAAAAATAGAGAAATTATAATAAAGTGAAAAATTAACATATGTTAAAAAATAAATTTCATTATAAGTCCTTTCCCACCCCTCCCCTCCAAAAACCTCCAATTTGGAGGGAACAAAAAACTACTCTAGGAGAGATTCAAATTAACTTCCCTCCCTTTCCATTATCTCATAATAAAATTGAACCAAACATACTTAGTTTAAAATATTCTCTCCTCTCTCCTCTCATAAAAAATTGAACCAAATATACTTAATTTAAAATATTTCTTCTCATCCCCCTCCCCTCCAAAACTCCCGACCAAACGGACCCTTAGACTATGTTTAGATTGATGGAACATGACGAAGCTGAGTGGAATGGAAGATGACGGAACGAAATGGAACAGAGAATAGAATATAGATTTCACTCTATTGTTTGATTATTTTATTAAAAATGTCTCATTCCATCACATACAATCCAAATTGGATGAAACAAAAAATAGAGATTAGATAGAATTGGATTGAATGGATTTCATCATGATTCCATCATGCTCCATTCCATTCCATCCAGCAAATTCAAACAATAGAATCTCATTAATTATCATTTCATTCTATTCCATTATTTGCAAATCCAAATAATAAAATCTTATTAATTATCACTTCATTTCATCTCATACCAACCATCCGAACATACCTTTAAGTTTAACTAGTCGTAACTTTCTCATAACTGACAATAATTTTCCCATAAATGAAATAATCAATTTTATACCCATTTTGAATAATAGGTCTAACATCTTGCAATAGCAGAAAAACTAACATTACAACAAATATTGTGAACACGCCACATGTATTAGCATTAGGAGAACGACTATCAACCCAAACAACCTGCATAGCAAGATGAAAAGTGAAGAAGTTAAAGGAAGTTTAAAGTTTTAAAATGTGTGTTTCAAATATCTAATGAGACTTGATATAACCATATTTCACAACTTGAACCTCAAAGTCACGGCAGGAAAGAGTCTTGCAGTAGTGGGTCAAAATGGCTCAGGGAAGAGCACTGTGATTGCCCTTGCAGTAATATTTTATGAACTTCTGTGCAGTAGTGGGTCAAAATGGCTCAGGGAAGAGCACTGTGATTGCCCTTGCAGTAATATTTTATGAACTTCTGTGTCAATTTTGTAATTGCACTTACAATGATATTTTATGAACTTCTATATCAGTTTTAATAGATGATTGCGATAAAGAAAACCGAAACTTAGGATCCTTTAGGCAAATAATAAGATTGGTTCAGCAAGAACCTGCTTTGTTTTGTTCACACAACCGATTATGAAAACATGCAACAACAATCAAATTTTATCCTACTAAATAGAATCGATTACATATATTAATTTTTATTATAATATTTTATCTAAGATCATGTGTTTATTCAAATCGCCATAACTGTTTACGAGAACATAAAGTATGAAAAAGAGGATGCATTTGAAACTAGAGGTAGTAAATCAGAACAGATTTGTTAGTGTCTGTCCGTTTACTTGTTATTTTAAGCGAGTTGGTCTTTCAACTAAATTAGACAAATTGACTCAGCCTGTTCGACTCGCTAAAAGAATGGGTTATGGTGAAGACAAGGCAGGCTGGCCTGCGAGTCAAATAAAATAATAATATTTATTTTATATAATATTTTGTGCTTAATAATGATCTAGTTATGTTGATTATGTAACTTGTCTTGGATTAGTTTCATAAAATTTTATGTATATTTGTTTGTTGTACTCAATGTTATTTCCAATCTGGAAAATTTGCCTCTACATTCTCATCACTACCAATATAGAAAAATATCTAAACATATCAATCATCTTTGCTAATACACATTCAATTTTATCAAAATTCTAAATGTTAACATTTCATTTCTAATTGAAAAAAGTGTTACAATATTTTTTATTTGATGTGTCAACCCGCAAACTCGCTAACCAAACAATAAATGGGGCGGAGTGAAATTTTGGATTCAACTATCTTAGTTAACTGCTCCGGCTCATTTTTAAGCATGCTTAAGCAGAGCGATCATAGACAAGACAGGTCCGTTCGTTTTGCCGCCCCAACCAAAAATAGAGATAATGAAGGCAGCCAAAGCAGCAAATGCTCATGAATTCATCAGTAGAATGCCTGAAGGGTACAGAACCGAGGTAGGTGAGAGAGGAGTACAGTTATCAAGAGGACAAAAACAAAGAGTAACAATTGCTAGAGCTATTCTGAAAGATCCATCCATTCTTCTGTTAGATGAAGCAACAAAATGCCCTGGACACAATATCAGAAAGAGTTGTCCAAGAAGCTCTTGATAAGCTTATGGGAGGTCGGATGACAAATTTTGACAGCTCACAAGCTCTTGACTGTTTGAGACGCAGACAGCAATGCAGTGCTGCAACACAGAAAGGTTGCAGAAATGGGAAGTCATGAGAGGATGATGGCTAAACTCGGAAGCATCTATAAGCAATTAGTTTGTTTACAGCAAGAAATGCGTTAACAAGAAGACAGTTACTGAATTCATTTGGAGTTCTCCAAGTAAATATTGAATTTTAGATTCAAACAAATGTTATTCATATCCATCATTAACAAAACAACCCGTTTGAATTAACAAAACGCCAGAAAGAAACTAATCAAAGCACTGATTCACGATGTTGCTGATCAGAAGGGAATCTGCATGAAACCCACCACCTGACTGTTCTACCAAGTCACGTAAAAGATTGCAGCATGGTTTGCAAATCATGCTTATGCACTTCCTTCAAAATTCGAAAAGACCAACCCACTAAAGACTTGTGTCCATGCTTTATCATGCAACTAGTGTAGAACAACTACTAAGCACATGATATATTCAACATACAAGAATTATTTCTCTGAGGCTTCTTTGAATATTGGGGCTCACCCAGTAGATATGAAACCGCAAGGAGCTCAACTGCTCAAAGATATGTTGTAGCAGTTACAACATTCATTATTTCCTTCTCGAGTTCAGCTTCATCAACCCACAATGAACTTTGTTTATGTAATAATTCTTTCTTCTCGGCCTTCTTCTCTTCATGCTTTTTGGCTTTCATTCTCCAATTTTCAAGTTTCTCTGCTCTCTCTTTTAACTGATTCACGAACATAAGAAATATATCAATAGCAATACGCAAAATCTACACCAACAATGATTAGGTTATTGAAAAATATGAAACAAACACTGTTTATAGAAACTAGATCAAAGTACTCAAACATAAAATTAAAGAAGGAAACAAGAAATGAGTTCAACTTACATAACTTATCTGAATATAGATTTTCAGTATGGACGACAAATGCATCAATTAAGAGATAGTTGTAGTACAAAGACAAAAAATGTGGTTGGTTTGTCTTGGAAATTTTATACCAGTAATGTTGGTTAGAATATGAAGACTGGTAAACTGTGAGGTATACATATAACACAACATGGATGCATAATTTATGATTGTAAAACTAGTCATTAAAGTTCATTGACTCTCCAACCTGCATATTATCAATTTAATAATTCACCTTAACTATAGTAAAAATAGGTCCATGTAAGTATTAAACGAAAGAGACATATTGTAGATATAAAATGTTTTCACTTTTCAGAGAGTATGACATGATAAATGTATTTAGGGGTTAGTTAGAGGACAAGAATATTAAGAGAACATTATCTTGCATCAAGAGTCGACTTCAAGGTTTAAAATTTAAAGTTTAGAGCAAGTTAAAAAAGAACAAGAAGTTGAATTTAAAAATCTCAAATATGAACATAAAAAAGGAGACACAAGTTAATTCAGGTTCATTTTACTTTTGTCCAGCCTATGACCATTTACACTCGCTTACATGTTGCCAGGAAGTTAACTATAGAGCTAGACAACCCCAAACATCTATTTGGTTTTATATATTTAACAGCTATCTTCTCAATTAAACCAAACAGTATTGAAATGAGACATATACTCTCATCGAAGTCATTATGTAGGTGATTTTGAATCGTGATACATGAATATCCTGCCCATAAACAACAGTGACCAGCCTATTGTAAACTAGCAACAACAAGACTACAAGAGTCTAATATCATTATTTGCAATGTCAAATTAAAACAGGGACAGTATAAAAGACATGCTTAGGATCGGACAGCATTAATGAAACGCTCTAATACAAAGCTTATCATAAGTGTCAGAAGGAGGAGACTACCTATCATACAAAAAGTTTACCCTAATGACATGTGGTCGAATTTCAGACATGTTTTCCACTATTTTCTTAGATCCGTGCTCTTGTACGAGATCTTTACTAGTTAATAAGAATGATAGGTTTCCTTAATAACTGGTCAACATCAGCAGTCATCATAGTGATAAACCTCATGAAAACCAAGAGCAACTAAACTAACTAATAACAAGTATTGAAAACAAACAAGTGCAAATAAAAAAATCAAACATAAACAACGAATTTTCAAACAATATGTTCAAACTTCAAAACAAGGAAAAGCAAATCTAAATAGATGTCTCTCTACTTGACCCTTACATTACCTGCAAAATTGTAATGATAGGACTAATTTATATAAATAGTTGTTTTCCTATTTGAAGCAAAATTGCAATGAGATTAATTTATATACGCAGACAATGTAAATATTTATACACACAAATTACACCATAGTATCACTTTGTCAGATCATTCCTAAAATATCTTCATAAATATGTATACAAGAATACGTAATTGTTATTGAATATAAGTTACACTCACAATGCATACAAATGAAAGGCATTTGGATTGTTTTATTTGAGCTAATCTCCTGGCATAAACATTGGGAAATTGTTTGGGATAGCTTATGAAAAAAGCTTATGATTTGTCCATACGTTGTTTTCAGCTTACTTCTATCAGTTTTGATTGGCTTATTTGAGTTTATCTACCAACATACACACTTGTGAAACTATTTAGGAGAGCTTACGCAAACAACTTATGATTTGTCCATAAGCTTGTTGTAGCTTAGTTCCATAAGTTTTTTTGTATAGCAGATGAGAAAAGCTTATTGCAAATATAGAAATAGTCTGCCTTTATATTATATTTTGTTATATAATAGCTTATACATTAGCACATATATAATACTAATAAGCATTATGCTATAAGTGCTCAGTAAAGTTGTTTATCCAAACAAGACTTAACCCAAAATCATAATAAACTCTTCATCATCTTCAAATCATCTCAAAAAATCCTCACATTCATTCACAACATGCAATTCATAGATTCAATTTCCAAAATAATAAATTAAAAAAAAAATGACTTACAAGGGTTTCTCGAAATTGTTGTTGAGCAATGTTCCGTTCTTGAGCTCTAAGTTCTGCAGCCTGAGCCTTAAGTTTCTTACGCTCTTCATTAGCAACTCTAAGCGATTCCCGCCGAGCCTCATCCTTCCGTTGCTTCTCCAACGCCAAAGCCTCCATTTCTCTTATGTATTCCTTCCGAACCTCTTTCACTTGCTTTGCGTAGTCTCTCCGAAGCTGAGCAAGCATTGCTTCGGCTTCCTTAGGATCTTTCGGAGCTTGCCAGCTTCCAACAAAGGAGCTCGGCGATAGGAACTTGTGATTTTCGCGGTGGTTGTTATGGTGGGAGTGTGACGCACGTGAGGCAAATGAACGCACGTGTGAACGCAACAAAGTCCTCCACATCATTGAACTGAAATCGTACTGCAAAATATAATACCAAATTTCTCTTAAGAATTCATATAAAAAATGTATGAATTGTTAAATTATAATGTGTCTAATGTGATAAATATAAGTGATTATTCGATAATCAAACAACAGATTAGTGTTTTTATCAAGAAAATTAATTCTAATTGAAATTGAAATCTATATAATTGCAAACATAAAGTTATGGAAAGAGAGGAATTTACTTACCTTTGAAGAAGAAAAATGGAAACCCTAGTTCTGAGGGCTACGGGGTTTGAATTGTTGTAGGCTAAGTTGTTTGGGTTTTCGTGAGCAATGAAACCTCTCTACAACGATTCTCTCAAATGACGAAACTTAAAAGATTTTTTAAGAAAAAAAATTTGTGATATTCAATTTCATTTTATGATTTTTATTAAATAAATAAATTTGCTGATATTTAATTCTGGAAGACTTTTTTACAAGTGTTGTTGACAACGGTGATGATATTGACTAACTTTATTATAGTACGATGATCCTTCTTGTATGCTTTAGGTAACAGGGATTTATATGCAAACGCTATGATGATTAAATTAGTGACACTTATAAATGTGAGATTTTAAAGTTTATGATAGTATGTATTTGACTATGTATTGTTCATTAAACTATATACTCTTATTTAAGGGTTTAGAGATTTTAAAACTTTCTTTAAGAAAAGTTGTCTCAAAGAACATATATATATCTAGTTGTTTTTAAACAACAGATATTATATGATCTAGTTGTCTTTATCATTTGATGTTCCTCCAGTGTTTAGGCCATTTTTATCTATCATATTGATGTCGTGTGAATGTTTTATTATTCAAAGGTTCTAAATCATTTAAACATTATATCTATACCAGGTTCAACCGAAGTTTGAGGACCACATACGACTCGTAGGAGGGTGTATGGATATGATGTGATTATCTCATACTTTAGTTCAAGAGTTTTTCATATCACCCCTACACTTTAACCTAACATACCCCACCCACCCACACACACCAAATGTTAGTGATTTGTCCATATTAATATTGTCAATTAAAAATTCATTTTACTATTCATTTATAGCATTTTAGCATTTTGAAAACTCCAGTAAAAATGTTAAACTAGATATGTTGAAAAACCTGATAAAAATGAAAATTGCCAATACCAAATTTAAAAAGAAAATGTAGTAGAAAATGTTGATATGGTTAATCAGATATTTCAAAAATTATGGGAAAATCATGATGATTTTCGGATTTTAAAAAAAATCTAATAGTTCATATTTTATCTTTTTTTTTGTATTTGTAGTGAGCATTAGAGGATCAGACGTGACGATTGCTTCTAGGTAGCGTGACACAGTTGCACTGATGGCTTGTACAAGTGTAGACGGCGTCGATGACTCTCATCTATGGACGAAGAAAGTAGTCCCGACCGGTTCTCACAAGAGGCAGATGGTTGACCCCGCTCGCGCACCCCGCAATATCTAGCCTAGAGGATCTAAAGTTGATGGACTAACCAAATGATGATGAGCTTGTTTTTGTGTTTGTTAAGGATGTCCATGCAGTACCTGAGGATGTAGAGGGTTAGGATGTCAAGCAGATAATACTTGAGACTGAAGTGTCCCATCATTTTGAGACAGGCTCCTACTGATATAGAGGTTACTCCTCAGCCTGATGCAGAGGCGCTACTATGGGTGATATGAAGGTTACTCCTCTGGTTGAAACAAAAGTTACTGCTCCGGCTTCGACGAAGCCGTTTATATACACATACAGAGGATTTTCTGGAGGACCTAGTGATCGTTATGTGCTCACTGGATATGTCAATCATATGGTATTCAGATTATGGCAGGGAGGGTGTGTATATATTATGTTGAACTTGACTTTATTTAATATTGATATGTTGAAAATAATTGATGATTTTTACTTTGTTACTTATAGGACCGACTGTCGTTAAACGTGCCCACTGTCATACCGCAAATTTTAATCTCAGATTCTTTGATCTTTTGCATATCAGTATAGGTTTATCATATTGCATAACTAACCAGTTTCTAGCTTTGTTTTTTTTATGAATCATGGATTAGACTTCAAAAGCTTCAAAGGTGTTTGAATTAGGGTTTTGGACAAAAGATTTCTACCGAGTTCCTATCAGAGGCTTAAAAAGGCCTGATTTCATTTCCTCTGAATGGTTACCAGTGTATCATTGTCTACGGTTTCATCAGCGGTTTGACTGGAAAGATTTTAGATCAGGATTTTGGAGGATTAAGGTTTCTCGCCCTTTGTGTGTGGTTGGCAAGCATTGGTCAATCGGGTGTCACTTGAGGCTAGCAAGTTAGGGTGTATGTATGCAGTTAGTTTTCAGTTTAATCAGGCGTGGTTTAGTCTTGGTCAAGAGAGAAGAGGTTGTATCAATGTCAATATGGATATTGTTGGGAATCAATACTTTATGCTTGAGGACTATCAAACTAGAGTTTGGTGTCAGTTGAAGTTTACCTAATGAAGTCAAGCTGTAAAGGTCATCTAAAATCGGGACATTCAGTCATTTACTTCAAGACCTGATTATATGGTTCATACTTTGTTTTCAAAAGGAAGGTTCAAGCTTTCTGTTCAATTCAAGTTCATTTCTGGTTGAAATTAGGATGTGTTGTTATGTCTCATGGATTTTATTCAAAGTTTCAACACATTTCTGATGTGGTTTTAATGATGAGTTCAAAATGCTGAAATATGGCTTCAAAGACAATTTGCTGGATCAAGTCAAGAGTGTTTAATGGTTTGGTCGAAGCCCAAGATTCAAATTTCCATATTCAATTACTTTCCAAAGTTCATGATCCAAGTTCCCACATTTCAAGACCATTTCCATTCCAATTTCTATCCATGAACAAGTTCATTATCCATCATAAAGTCATTTCTCTTTGTATCCATTTTCTAAAATCCATTTCAAGATCATTTCTAATCAATTCTAATCCCATAATCCAATCCATGTTTCAATTTCCAAGTCCATTAAATCTCAATCCTTATTCAAAGCCAAGTTAAGTTCCATTTTAGTTCAAGACCAAATTTCAAATAACCATCATTTTTTCAATTTTAATTAGTTTCAAGATGTATATCCAAGATCCTACAATCCATTCTCAATTTAGTTCTAATTCAAATAAGTTCATTTTTACTTCAACTCAAGTGTCATTGCCAATTCTTATTCAATTTATTTCAAATTTATTCTAATTCAAGAGTCCATGAGTCTTTTTTTACTCTTCACCATTTGTAAAACCCATGTAAAAATCCAGCCAATACTCATCATAATATCATCACAAAATTCAAAGATCTCAAGTCTATTTACAATACTCCAAAAAGCCCATCTTATGATTAAAAGTATACAAAATCTCAACCCAAAAAATGCCAAAAAAGAGATAATAAATTTCATGAGCTACATGGCTGACTATGACAGTTCAAAATGCAGTAAATGGATGAAAAACGCAGCTGCAAGTATAGGTTTTAATCAAAAAAATTTCACAATTCCAGTTCCAAGCTCCATGCGACCTCCAGCTTCATACACTACACAAAACTACAAAAAACCGGCAGAAACAAAGACAACGCACTACCAAACCCTGGTGTCATCTACAAACAATCGTACAACAGCAACATTGCACCCTGTTTTTCACAGACCTGCACCATCTCAGACAACCTGAACATGTTTTAAACCGAAACAACCTCAAAATTCTGCAACAACAAAAGTCTTTACGGAATCCTGTTTCAATGAAAACCAGAGCTTACATCAGGACAAGAATATAAGATTGATTTTCATGAACCTTTTGGAGCGAGGCTTGTTTCATGACTTTTTGATTTGAATATGCACACCATCAGTAAATACAAAAACCACCATTTAAGTCGGAGGAGGGCCAACACCAAGGGGGACCTCTTTCATCCTTTTGCAATAGGCTTCCCTCAAACAAAAACCTATAGGAACCATCTCCCTCCTTCCTCTCATCACCACACTTCACCTCATTGTGAATCCTCCATAACCTTACAACAACTGACCTATCTCAACCATATATCCTCTGATTCTTCCCCAAGCCATCATAAATTTACCATTTTGAAACCGAGTCGATTCATACCGCTTTCAACAGATCAAGCTTCAACACCCCAAATCTGTGAACAAATTAACAAAGCCACACTCAAACACGGGATTCTGAGAAATCATAAGTAGAAAGAAGAAGAGAGGGTTGTGAAAGAAACGCAGATGGGGTGGGCATTTTCTTGTGATTTTGAAGCAGTGTAGAAATACTACCAAGAGTGAGATTGAGGAATTTCTGGCGTGAGAGGAAGGTAATTTGAAGACGGAAAAGCTGAAAGTGACGAGAATTAGGGTAACACATTTGTTTCTCTTTTTAATATGACGTTGTTGTGGTGCGACGAGGAGAAGGGAATTTGAGTCTCCTTGCTTTTGTTTTTGTTTCAAAACAAGTTTTTCTTTTGGGATGTGATGGGCTCGGTTAAGCCCATGACCATTGTTAATCATACTCTTGCCATTAGTTAACACCCTTCTTTTTTATATAGTTTAATTAACTATTTGTTTTTTTTTGTTAATTAGATTTTAATTAGTTAGTTTTAGTTAATTAGTTTTTTTAATTAGATTAGAGTTTAATTAGTTAATTAGTTTTATTAATTAGCATTTAGTTAGTTAGTTAGTTTTATTAGTTTTAGAATTAGTTGGGTTTCTTTAATTAAAGGCTAATCTAATTTGGTTATTTAAATTTATTTAGAATTTAGTTTAATTAATTTTTAGCTTAATTAGTGGATTAGTAAGTTAAATTAGATTTTGGTTTTATTTTATTTTATTTTTTAAATTAATCATGACATTTCTATATTTTCATTATTTTTTTGATGTTTGATCTATTTTTTGTTGTTTTTGGTTATTGGTTAATTTTGATTTCAATGTCCTATCTTTTGAGTTTTTGATTCATCTGGGCATTTACTGTATATATTGTTATTCATCTTACACTTGATGCTAGAGGTTTT